CAGTCGCTCATCGTTAATCCAGAGATTGAATGAACCGTCTTGCAACTAGGGACAGGCAAGCGGTGCAATATGCCGTGAAGTTTGATCTCCTGGATTATAGGTTATTTTAAACAGATCACTTGAACTAGTGATCAGTGGCTATTTCCGTTACTCATCAGCAGTGGAGATTGCCGGAAAACTATGATCTTTAGTGCTTCGTGCAACGCAATGATGTACTTTCGAGAAGCTGGCCAAAGATTTCTTGAAGACACCTAAATGGGTTCGGAACACGACAATCCGCTTTACCCTCGTTTGCGAACTACTTCTTGAAATCATCAGGTCACAACTGCGATTGTCGTGAAGATTACTGGTGGCTGACTTGAAAAACAGCATAAAACACCTTTCATCAATCCATAACGCAAAAATAATATGGTCCATTAAATGAGTGATGCATACCAGTGTTTCGGTCCATGTCTCACGAGCCTTCTTCAAGAGTTTTGGAGGTTCTTCTGGCCTGCAGCAGTGGATAAATTTCGAGCCAGAAGGCCTGTCTATGATCGACTAACAAAAACGATTTTCTTTTCGAAATCGCATGCTGGTATCCAAAGTTCGGGGGAATGGTGAAATATTTCAAATTTCTTCCGTTGCAGTTAAGTCGTTGGGGAAGAGCGGATCATAAGGTTACTTCCTTCACCATGCGAAATGGATAGCAGGTGGGTGGTATTTGTAATTTATCATGTTTCGCCGACGCTGATGCGGTTTCTTGGATTCCGTTGTTGTTTGTTGAGCATAGCCTTATCCAGCCTTTTGCATAAGCCTTACGGGTTTGTGATGTCTATGTATTTGCAGCATTACAGCACTTCCGTTCTTAGGCACTGGTTAAATCATCGTAAAAAGAATCATTCCTTGCAGAAAGCAGACCTAGCTCTTTCTTGTTTCTCCATGTTGTATGTTCATCTGGTTTACTCTAACTCAGAGAGTTTATTACAGGTGAATTTTTTCTGGCCTTCAGTGATTTCTGTTCCCTACTTCGGTTTTGGATTATCGGTGAATTTAGTACACGTCATCGTTGCTTTATTAGATTTACCTATGGAATTTAAGTAGAATTTGTAGTTGCTAGCTTCCTTCTTTTTTAAACGAATAACATTTGTTGCAACATCGACTTCTGTCAAATCTTTTCGTTAAATGTCAGATCAGCGTATTTTATCATATTTAGCTTAGTTGCACCGCCGGGTTCCACCTCTTATTTGGAAATTTACTTCCCTCTGTTTCGAAAATTAGCAGCTTTATTTGGTCAGCAATGGACATTTTTGTGCGATCATAAACACAGCAGGTCACTTCACATTCCTTGACCGCTTTTCTTTTCAGGCCGCGTTCGCAGACACGTCAGACAGTGCTTCTAACATTCTCGAATCATTGCCAGAGTCTGAACATTGGTAGAATACAACCGGAATCTAGAATAGACTCCAACACATTTCACCAGGTTAATTATAATCGTCCCATACGGGATTCTCTTGGTCAGCTGGGCAAGTAGTAGTGGCTTTCTGAAGGCATTCGAAACACGTCCTCATGCAATCACACCTGTGATTTTTCAAGCTGAAGAAACAGCAGCTGCACATTAACACTCTCTGATTTCTGCACTCCGGATCATGTCGAGACGGGTAGGCCAGCCAGAAAGCCCATTTCACATGCTTGTACCCGGGGTCGAAGTTTCTCAATGATGGTACACGACCCATCCCGTAAGTATGCATGGGGATGAAGATCGACTTGCATACCCAGAGCTTAGTTTTCAAACTCAGCTCTGCTTTAGCCATAATGGTTCCGGATAATTCACGCAGAACGCCACTGAACTTCTCCACCTGCTCCACTGCTTCTCCGTTTATTTGAAAAGAGCAACGGGCAGGAGAAGGAGAAAGCACTAAGCTTTTCGTTTCAGATGCGTTCACAGGTATGCCGATCACGTCGCACTCGGCTGCGAACTTTTCTAGGGAGTATTTGCATCTCCTACATTGATATCCTCATCGCCTTGGCGGGTCCTGACTATTTTATCTATGTGCAACACAAACAGGAAAGGGGGCAGGAGAAAGCAGCCTTAGCAGAGACCAGTGCCAACGTCGAAGTGTTTCGACTTAACTCTGACGCAGTACCTGCTATCAACATATAGTGATTGGATGGCCCGCGGCAACTGGTCATTGATCCCATATGTTCGCAGGCATGCCCACAAACTGTTAGGCGGGATCTGGTCATTGGATTTCTCTAGATCAACGAAGGACATATTCTCCGGATCAGTTAACTGCCACGATTTCTCAACGATTTGACATAGAGTGAATCTTTAACTGAGCCGGTTGCCACACGGCTATTCTTGTATTTTAGAGTCAGTTATTCTGTGCCGCTTTCATTGATAAGGATTCTTGAAACCCCGTTCTCCATTCCGCTGGTGTCTTTCTCTCAATCATCGCAGTTTGACAGACACGTGTAAGCCAGCACAACATGTTCACGCAATGCCTTGACCATTTCAGGGCGGATTTCACAGAGATTCTGATATCCGTTCCCTGTTGCTCTTTGGACGAGTCTTCCTGCGGTTGCTGAAGGTTAAGAAGTTCCTCATAGTACTCTCTCCATTGCCTAAGAATGCCCTCATTCTCGGTATGAAAATGTCAAAGCCTGTCGTTCAAGATTTACGGATTGCCCTTCTTTTCCCCTTTCAGGCTGCGGATCGTCTAGCAGAATATCTTGCTTGCCCTCTGGAATTTTTACTCTAGCACCATCTTCCAAGAATCAATTTTGATATTCGCCTCTACTTTCGCTGCTACCTTGGTGCGA